GGCAACCCGCGCTGGGGTTCGAGTCCCACCTGTGACCCGGCCGGCCCGCCTTTTTTCTCTCTCTTTCTTTCATTCTTTCTTTCCCACGCCGCGTTATCGTCAGATTGTGTTCTAGTCAGTGCGCTATGAGTGTGGCCCCTTAGCCGAATGCGTAAAGGTGTCGGGGCGGGGAGCCCGGGTCATGGGTTCAAGCCCTGCCGGAGGCGCTTTTTTTTTTTTTTTGTTGGTCGCTCGGTTTGAATGCTACAAGACGAAAAAGCTTCCATCCAACTCACGGGGGTTCGAGTCCCGGTAGCTGGGTCAAGCGATTTCTTCCTCTTTTGCTCACCGAACGAGACTACTCCCTCCGCTGAGCGCTACCCCCAACCCCCACCCTAACCGCATCCCGCCGGCCGCGCCCCTTTAAGACAACGTAAACAAACAGTGAAATCGGCGTCTTCTGCAACTCTTTACCGATAATTCCTACCCAAATTTGTCACAAGATCCTAATCAGAATTTTAGGGTGGACAGCGTCGTTTTTTGATTTTAATCGCAAGGGATCGTAGTGCGTGATGGTTTCCGGAATATTAATTGTTCTGTTCCGGCCATTGTAGGAGGTTAGTTGCTCCAGTGGCTCCGGCATTTATACACTTATTATTACACTAATTAGTTGTAGTTGTAGTATATTTTTGGAGACACAGTAGATGACATGCCTGTTATTGAGACTTGTGATCACTGTAAGCTTTGTTGAAACGGTGTTGAACAACTTGCACATTTTAGATTGGACGTACAATGCAGTTTTGCTGGTTTTGCTACCTGGGTATTTTACATCATATTATTTTACTCTGTATTATTATTCTTTGTGGAACAGCAAAATGTATTAAGTCAGGTTAGGCTTTGATAGTCAACTGAGGGCTTTAGCGCTATTTGTGTTATCATGTGTTATACATGATAGAATGTACTATTTGAATTTGGTAAAACCATTGTTAAAAGGCTCTTGAGTAGGGCTTCATTGCTAGTAAACACCTCCTTTAGCACAGCTTACTATCTTTTTTCAGTTTTCATATTCTTGATTTCCTGAGGGAGATGGTTGAATAGTCCACTCCCAACATGGATTAATTTATCGAATTCACCATTGCATTTCTTTCTACGGAAGTCTTTTTTCCCTCAGAAAGAAATACCGTCGTGAAACAAGTTACCATAGTAATAGTATGAGTAAAATTATACGTACTTAATAGTTGACAATTGTCGAGTAATAATTGAAAGCAAACATAGTACTAAAAGTACCATTTAATATGATTGCAGGAAAACGGCCTGGAAATGTTCTTGACCTGAGCAAAGAAGTCAATGGAGTCATTTTACCTGAAAGTATAGGTGAGTTGACAATAACCAATGCTGGTCCAATTTGTCTCTGTTCGGACTCTATGAGAAGCTCCCTTTGGTTTTGGTGTGCATCAAAGTTCAGTTTATAATGGTTTTTGTGGTGTCTTGGTTCTTCCCTGACAATTTTAATCATCCCCCATCCCCCGTCAAAATCTCACTTGATCTGTGTAAATATCATGGAGCCAACCCACTACAGCAGAGTTCTTTTCCTGTTACTCTAGCTTGTGCGCCTTAGGTAAATAACCCGCCCATAGTTCGAAAGACCACCACTTAAAACTCTAGTTTCCGGCTCGGTAGGCAGCCCATTGTACGCTGCCCGCCAGATTCAAAAGACCACCCCCTCCTAATACTTACGTTTCCCTGGTCAAGAGTGGTTTCTGACAGAACCAAAAGTAGTTTTGTGGTACCAAACTGGGAATTTCGATTCTAATACTCCTCCGTCAAGAACGAGCGCCATCGATTTTCGCTAAAAACACAGAAAGGCCTTTGTCAATTTTGCCAAAAATGAAAAACAAAATCGCCAGAAATGGTTGGGATTGGTCCGACAGCACCTCCTTTCAAACTCCTCGTCGAAATTTCACGCCGCCGGGCCATTTTAAGAGAGTTATGCCTGTTTTTCTTGGACCGGTTCGCCTGCGAGGTAGGCAGCCCATCGTACGCTGCCCGCCAGATTCAAAAGACCACCCCTTAAAACTCAAGTTTCTCTAGACAGGGGTGGTTTCTGGCGGAACCAAAAGTAGTTTTGTGGTCCCATGGTTCCCCCCTGTCGATTCGACTACTTTTCCGTCGAAATCCGGACCCATCAATTTTCGATAAAAACACAAAGGCTATAGCCTTTGTATATTTTGCGAAATATGAAAAATTTGAAAATCGCTGGAAATGGTTGGGATTGGTCTAGGAGAGTCGCCTTTGACCTCCTCTGTCGAAATTGCGTGCTTCCTGGCCCTCTTACATCCCGTTTCTTCGACTAAAACTGCCTCTTTGGTTTGTTGCAGGAAGATCGGCCTGCCTGGAGGTGTTTCTGTCCTGGACATCAGTCGTGCAGCCCATGGAATCATCAGATATAAGTTGAGTTGGGGTCACAGTGATAACCGTTGGTCCAGTTATTTTTTTACCCCCCTGTAAATTCACCACCCACATTGTGGAAGGGTCTAGCGGAGCCGTTCCGCTCAACGCTGTGGAGTCAGCGGACCCCTTGCATGGGGACAATACGTGCAACGCGTGACCTCACTGCGTCAATGAGGGGGCTGGACGTGTCGCCCTAAGCCGTCCGAAAAAACCTCCCCTCCCCCTGCCCTCCTCTCGGCTGCGGCTGCTGTGGAGGTAGTAGTGGGCTGCCGCCGCTGCTGCGGGGGCTGTGGGGGTAGTAGTAGTGGTAATCCTACTGCTGCCACTGCGGCCGCTGCATCAGAGACGTCTGTGACGTCACTGCGGTAGTGGTGGCTGTCTGCTACTACATCCACAGTTACTACAGCTTCTAGCTAACTAGGTGTAGGAAATCAAGTAAAATGTCAGATGTAGTGATTTTCTATTCTTTATTGTTTCAAATCATTTACATTATAAGAGTAAGTCTTCCTCAAGTAGCCGGCTTGTTTCTGCTGGTGACTTGGGGCTAATCTGGATACCTGAAAAAGAATGAAAAAAATCTATAAGTTAAATTCAAATTATTATCTCAGAGTTCAACTCAAACGTTTTCTGGGCCATATGTATTACTGTGATGCCAACTCATCGAATGAAATTCTATGTTACAGGTGGCCAGCATCAAGTCCAGGCATATCCCTACAAGAACCAGCATCACTTCCTATTTTACTATGACTGTACCATACAAATGAAATAAATAGCAGCATTACTGGAAGTGACATACTGATGATTTGCCTTTTCCACTTCCCTCCACTACAATCAACACACTACTACATATTTTAGGATCAAGTAAAAAGCCGTACATGGAGGTAGCATAGAGACAGTAAAGATATATGACAAGTTACCCCCTAATAGAAACAAATACCAAAATAAACTTTTACCCAACATGACTCTAACATTACATGAAAAGTCAAAACTTACCAGATTCATTCCTGTGATCATGAGGAAAAGGGTCCAGTGATGCTGTGACGCCGACTCAGCATCTGACGGCTGCTTAGCTGATGTCAAGCGCAGATGCAACTAATAGACGGTCTTCCTGCAACAAGCGGGTAAAAACAGAATTTTGGTCAACATGTATCATGGTTGCACCAACTCCTCTCTGGACTCTCGACAGTTTTAGGGAGCTGCATAACATTCACTTGCCATGCTTCAAAAGCATTGCCTAGGACAAACAATGTCAACTCAATGTTAAACATTTACAGGTGGAATATATAAATATTCATGCACTTTTCACTCTGTTTCCATATTGTTTACTATACATTTTTATCAATTATTCAAGGACTAAAGAGAAAATGAGCATTCAGTTGGCATGAACTGGAATATTTCTGCCTGTCTTTGAGCAGAAAAAAGGGCAAAATCAATGAGGAGATAAAAGAAAAATATGATCACATCATAATTAACATTTGTAAGATTTCATGAAAATAAATAAAGTAAAACTTTTTTGTAAGCCCTCTTTTCTTCCAGTCCTGCTTCATGGTGTCCTCCATTCCCTTTTGCAATCCTTAGTGCAGCAGAAAGGTTAAAGACATTAGGGATCTCAGAGGCTTCAAAATTTATTCAAAATGTAACTTAAACAAAAAATTAGAATCCCACTTGAAAAACTCAAAAATTTTAGGGACTATATCTGCGATTAATAGCAGTTATTCCCTAAGGACAGAAAATGAGCAAACTGGCGCTCTTTTCTATTTTAAAAACATCCTCACATTACTTACTAAATATAATAGGTTATTCCGCTGCAAGCAAAACGGAACCTAAAGAAGAAAAGCATGACTGCTCGATCTGCTTCCCTCTGCGCACTCATTGGCTGACCGGTATATCAAGGTCATCGTTGACCAATCAGCATTCAGGAGGAAACAGATCGGGCAGTTATGATTTTCTTTTTAAAGTTGCAGTTAGTTTGCTTGCAGCGCAATACCCTACTATTTCCCTCCGTACCTGCATCTCTATCAGGAGGAGAGTCATGAGCTAGAGCTGGGATGGTGACGGAATGAGGAGGGGGGCTACAATTACTCTCAATGGCCTTACATTCACTGCACCAACTTTATTAAAAATATCAATCAATTTATAATTTGAGGGCATCAGAGGCCTTCATTACTCGTTCTTCACCAGCCCACGTCCCCTCTTAGTGGTAGGAAGAACGAGTATTGATGTCAGTGCGGTGCCATCCTTTATGAACTGTTTGCACTTTTATCTAGGAACACATAACACCTCCAGACATGATAGTAGCACGATTGTAGAGCAAAAGGCGCTGGTCTTAATTAAAGCAATGAACTTTTTTTCAGGTTTATATGGTATCATTTTGAGCACTCGTGTTTTGCGAGTTTGCATTCTCTCTAAATTCGACATCTGTGAAATACCAACAGCCCGGTAAAAGTGAAACAGAAGAAATTTGAGACATTCATTTAAATTTGCCATAGAGAAATGTCGAAAAAAGTTTGGCACATGGTTAGAAATTCAAAATGAGGTTATGAAGATAAGTTTGTGAATGAGACTTATCACGTTTGCGTCCTTCCGCGTCTACGCATAGATAGAGGGCTCTCTATGAAACTATATTGACAAATCTATAATTTGCAATGACGAACCAGAACAACAACAAAATAACAACAGCAGTTTGTTACCTCCGCGAAGTCAGAAACAGCCACAAGCCTACCGAAACGACAAATGTTCCAGCCCATAGTAGTCTCGTTGCAGGGTACGTGCGGGGCTAGCAGGGGGTATCGCCGCTCAGGCGCTAAGGGTAGGCCACTATCTGCACACAGACACTTGGCGGGAAGGCCTACCCGATGCGCCGCAGGCGTTGTCATTCGGAATCGTTCGTACTGCGACGGTGACCGGTGACCCTTGCGGCGAGTTGTGGTTGAGGGCGCCAGGAGGATAGGCAATCAGTACACAAGCTGTCCCCTAGGTTTGGGGGGCCCCCGGTCCCCCAGGCCCCAGTGTGTTAGTTCAGATGCATCTGGGAATTATGTGCAGAGCAGGCCCTTGCCTTCTGCTTACACCCTGAAGGCTTCGGATTTCATATTACCCAAAATGAATGTTCTATAGTCGGGTCGAATTAAGCTGACTCTGACCGCCAGCATTGTGGCCACAAATAGAGACGTCCGACATACCGGGTCAGACTTGAGCTGCCTTCGCCCGGCCGTTAGACAGTTGCAAACGCAAAGTGAAAAACGAATTCCTGGTGGGCCTCGAACCTCTGACCATAGGTTCTCCAAGCTGGCGCTTTACCGACCTTTTCTGATTTTTTCCTGATTTTTTTGACTTTTCTTATTTTTCGGGGGCGGAGTGGGGAGGGGGGGGGGTGCTGGTTTGGAGGAAATGTGAAAAGTAGTGAAGTGGGTTGTCCTTAGTTGTCGTGGGTTGTCCTGGGTTGTTCTGCGTTGTCCTGCCGTGTCCGGCGTTACGGGTTTGAATCAATAAATTAATTCTTTTCTGAGTGAGCTCAGAGCCTACTCGATGGGGACTTACGTACGTACGTACGCACGGTGCGTAAACGATTTGCTCGCGCCAAGAGAAGCTAGGAGCCAGAAAAGCGGTGTGAGGAGTGGTGCGGGACGGGCCGGGGTGG